TATATATAAATATATGCACACACATAAACACACACATATTTTCCAGACATAAAAACATATGTACATATATACACACACAAAGATAGAGATAAAAAAAAGTAAAAGAAAGATTATCATCATTCATTGCTTGGCCGACTGGCGTGGGCGATCATAGACCTGCACTTCACTCTGTCTTGCGTTGCAGCGATGGTGTCTGTCGTTCAAGCTGTTCCCAGCCTTGTTGTCAACCTGTCCAGTAATTTTTCCCTTTGTCTGCCTCTGCCTCTCCTTCCATCAAATTTTCCTATAGTAGCAATATTCTACAATGTTTCTTTCTGCATTGCGTGTCTAATGAACTTTGCCTGTCTCTTTTGTATATTCGTCATAAGCTGTCATCTGCAATTTGCTCCAACCAAGACTTTTTCATTTGTTTTTCTTGCTGTCCATAGGATACGCAGCATGCGTCTTATGAACCTCAACTCTGTCGCCTCAATTGTTCTTTCCAGCTGTCTATTGATTGTTCATGCTTTGCTCCCGTATAATAGGATTGGCAGGATATATATTTTTAGTACTCTTTTTTTTTTAGTTTCCAGTGGCAGATTGATGTTTGTAAGTATCTGTTTCGTTTTGTGGAAGGTGGCAAATGCAGCTTTTAAATTCGATGTGACATCTCCCATCTTTGGATAAAATGGTCCCCACATATTTAAAAGGCTGTACATGCTTGAGGGCGGTACCATTGAGTTTGATAATGCATGTTGGGGTTGGAGCTTTTGTTTTTGCTTATCACCATTGTTTCTTGATGTTTAGGTTTAGGCCCATGCTGTCACTCTCTTGTACGATGACATTTAATAGATCATGTAGGTGTTCTTCATCTTCTGCTATTAGAACTGTGTCGTCTGCCTATCTTAGATTGTTTACGTTATGTCTCCCTCTGGATATGCCTAGCATTTCTTCTATGTGTCTCATGATGGTTTCACTACACAGGGAGAACAAGTTTGATGAAAGTACACACCCCTGTCTGACTCCTCTTTTAATCTGTGGATGGGTAGATAAAAAGAGAGGGTGCATTTGTCTCAACGTACCCTCAGCTCATTGTGTTATATTCCTGCAAAGTGAAACCTTTTTAGATGTTTAGTAACTATTTAGCCTCTTAATCCATTAGTTGATTCATTCACTGACTTTTCCAGACATTAATTTATTTATTTCACAGTTCCTTCGGTCATTTATCCATCATCAGAACACTCCCACTGTGTCCTAAGTTTCTCTCACAGGGCTGTCAAAATAACCACAAGACAATTGAATATTTAAATACGACACAGTCAATGATTTGTTGTCGGGGTATAAATAGGGAAAAGGGTGAAGGGGG